TGACTTCAATGTCCCTCCCTACTATGTTGTAGTTGTTGTTAGGTGATGTGGAATCAATTCTGACTGATAGGGGCCCACTGCACAATGGAACGAACTATCATCTGGTCCTGCATCATGCCCACAATTGTTTTGTTTAAGTCTATCATTGCTTCCACTGTGTCTATCCATCTTGTTGGGGGTTTTACTCTTTTTTACTGAGCCTAATTTTACTGAGCATGATTTTCATCTCCAGGGACTGGTCACTCCTGACAACACGTCCAAATTATGAGAGAGTCACTAATCACGATTTCTCATTCTCAATTCTGAAGTTCATTTGATTTTAACTGGAAAAGACTTTACCCAGTTTATATGAAAAGAAATATCATAAAGCTAAGTTTAGATATTATTATAAGGTAACTTTAGACTGAATTATAGATTTGTCAGTTTGAGGGTTAAATAATCTTCAGATTTATTTCCTGGGAAACTAACAGCATTTGCAAAAATAGGTACAGGGAAATATACACATATATTTTTCCCTGAAAGGTTCTCATCTCAGTAAAGATGAACTCAACAGTCAAATTATCTCCAAAGCTTTCATTAAAGTCTTATGTTAAAGGCCAATTCAAGTTGATGTAATTTACTAACCCACAAAGTACAACCAGAAGGCTCCTTAGAAGCAATGATGGTGAGATTTCATCTCAAGTACTTTGGACATATTATCAGGAGGGACCAGTCCCTGGTGAAGGATAACATACTTGGTAAAGTGGAGAGTTATCTCATAAAAGGAAGCCCCTCAGTGAGACAGACTGACTCAGTGGCAGCAACACTGAGCCCAAACCTAACAGTGAAGGTGACAGTGGTACAGGACAGGGCAGGGTTAACAGCTTAATCAGTGTGCCACCAGGGTGTTCTCTATGGATGCTGTTGTTAAGCTTCATCAAGTTGGTTCCAACTCATAGTGACCCTTTATAGGGTTGCTGAGGCTGTAAGTCTTAGCATCTGATGGACACGAACCACTGACCTATCCAACAGAGCCATCAAACTTCCATTTCTCTCTAAATGTGTAACTAAATAAAGCCATAAACCCATTTCCATTGAGAATATTGAATATATGGCTGCTTCTCTTTCAGGTATCTTCTATTTACCTATTCATTAAAATTCTGCAGGCATTTCGTGAGACTATATTAGTCTGGAACCCTCAACATTTCTATAATAAAGTTCTTCCAAGTTGTATGTAGTGAAACTGGGAAGAAATATATTTGTATATAGGTTCAAATATAACAGCAAAATCTGACTGTAAAGCCTACATTTGCAGCAGGAGCTATATTCAGAGTTGCCATAGCAGCCACCCACATGCACACACACACATACAAATGGTGGTCAGGAAAGAGAAAAAGCAGTTAGCAGAGAAAAGAATCTATTGTTAACAAGACAGTGGTACCCATCAAAGTAATTACAAGCAAGAACCCTTACTGTTAGTCTGAACCACTGTTTAATGATAGATTTCTGAGTGTTTCTTAAATGATTTTTTTCTCCTGTTACAGATTCTACAGTCTGTACCATTGGCTTTAACCTTCATAGAACGCTGAAATTATGCTGGGGGAGGGAATCCAGCTCACCACACACGTTAAGGATAATATGATATTTTCCATTTTTGGAACATTTGGAATCACTGTAGTCAATAACATTTCTGGTTTATGGACCAGAGCAAGTTACTTCACGTTCTAAGTGTCCTACTCTGTAAGGTGGGTATAATAGTACCTACTTCAAAGAATTGTTATGATATTTGTTGTTATTGTTGTTGTTAAGTGCCATCAAGTTGGTTCAGACTTATGACAATCCTGTATATGGTTTCAGAGGAGCAGCTGGTGGGTTTGAACCACTGATTTTGTGGTTCATTATCTTGCAGCACCATACCAAGACTCCACTTCAAAGAGTTATTACGATTGTGGTTGTTAAGTGTTGTCAAGTCGGTTCTAATTCATAGTGACCTTATATAGGGTTTCCAAGGAGTAGCAAGTGGGTTTGAACCATCAACCTTGTGGTTCAAACTGACCTTGTGGTCCAGTGCATTATCTTGCAGCACCACACCAGGACTCCATTATTAGGATTAAATCAGTGTAATTAATTGTTAGATAAAAACAACTAATGATAAAGAAATGTGGATAAATAATAAATTTGAATAATACAAAAAATTACTTAGTAAGTAGAATTAGGTAAACTGGTAAACGTGAAGCCTTTAGTATATGATGCATAGTTGTTGTTAAGTGCCACGCAGCTGTTTCTGACTCATGGCGGCCTTGTATAGGGTTTCTGAGGCTATAAATACTTTCAGAATGGCTGGTGGGCTTGAACCACTGACCTTGTGACTCACTGTCCAGTGCTTATCCCACAGAACCACCGTGTGCCCCCAATGCATAGTAAATGTTTGCTAATAATAGTAATACATGAAATCTGTGAGCCAGAACACCATGGATTTGTTTTTGTTTCTCACAAATGCTCTTTCTTTGATAGGGCAGTCTTTTCACTTTTCTATTATTCATTTTAGTGGAAAATATTTGTGTATTCCTTCTTTGGCAGGTTTCCATACACAGGATCAACCTTTAACAGGTCTTATTATAACAGCATCTCCGATTCTTTATTACAGAGTAGAAGTCCCAAGGTGGTGCCAACAGTTAATGTGTTTTTTGACTTCTAAACAAAAAGGCGGCAATCTGTGTTCACTCAGAAGAAAGGCCTGGAAATCTACTTCTGAAAAACCAGCCACTTAAAACCCTATGGAGCACAATTCCATTCTGACACACATAGAGTCATCCTAAGTCAGAGTCAACTCGGTAACAACTGCTTAGAATAGTATGGCTTATAATTCAGAAATTGCTAATACAAGTATTTGCAGGTGATCAGCAGACTAGGTGTATGTCAAAGGTGTTAAGATTCTCCCATTGCATAAAAGGAGACGCCTTCCTCTGTAACAATGCCTTAGAAAACATATGTGGGCAAAATAAAAAGGCTATTCATTGCCATTGCCAAACCCTAGTTATACAGAAGCCAGCATCGATTCATGTTAAGTAGTCATACAAGTCTTTGGGTCAGAAAGTTATCTGGAATTTGTTTCAGATAACTGGGTTAATCAGATCTGTATATGCATATATATTTCCATGCATATTTAGAAACAAATATAAACATCAGACTTAGACGTGATGGCCATCAATTTTGTGACACTCACTTTAGTTTTAAGCCTTCATCTTAAGGCTGAGTGCTTCATACAGTGACAGATGTAAAACATGTAGTCAAGCAATGTTAAAGGACAAGAAAAATTTCGTTGTTAGGTATGACCAGGTTAATAGATTTCCTATCAGGCCTAAGGGTATTTTAAAATATGAAGAATGCAAAACTGATGGGCTAAAGAAATAAGGGAAATTGGAAGTATGAAGTTGGGAACACAGCAAAAAGGCAAAGAGGGAGTTGTGACTAACAAATTATACAAAAGTCCAGGCAGTGGAGGAGACAATGATTAGGAAGGAATCAGATCCTTAGCTCAATTAATATTTTCCTAATGAAAATTTTAAAGTCCAGGCAATAAAGGTAAGATACACACCGGACTGTTAACTGCAAAGTCAGTGGATCAAACCCACCAGCCACTCCTCAGAAACGCTATACAGGGCCACTATGAGTCAGAAACGATTCAATGGCACTTAACAGTAACAACATTATAACTTAAAAAGTTTTCAAAAGTTAAAGTCTCTAAAATTATCCTGACATTGTGAACATTATGTAAAATAGCACACTCATATTTCCTCTCCTAAACTTGCCTTTTCCTTATTTCCAAACTCAAGTAAGGATGTCACTGGACATTGCTATATTTTTCCTTCGATTTCATCGACAATCTGACATGATTAGATTGGAAGCATTTCTGGTATCAAATAGTTCTTTGAAGTTAAGAACGGCCTTGATTGTTTTCAGGTATTAAAAATTCTTTCCAAGTTGACCCTGAGTGTTTACAAATCTCTTGTCAATGAGCTGAAATAAGAACAAATTAGCTACTAGCACCATTGGAAAGGAGAACCTAAAAAAAGTAATTTAAAGTCTCTGAACTTCTTACTAGAGTTTCTAGAAAAGCGTGCACAGCATACATTTGGAATCAAAGTCTATAGCTGCAAGGCAAAATCTGGGAATTGGAGAAAAAGGCAAGTGTTTGAGTTAAGAGCTGTGTGCCAAGTCTGTCGTTCTATTTCTCAAATCAGTAATTTGTCACCTGTGACCACTCCATCTCAAGGTCCTAAGATAGCCTCATATGGGCCTGACTCTTGCCAGTGAAATTATGGCATTCTTATAGATCTATTCAAAATGGCTTTCTCAATTATCTTTTTTCCCCTATATTCTTAGGAGTCTCTGGGTAGCACAGTTAAGTGTGCAACTACTAAGCAAAAGGTTGACAGATCAAATCCACCCAGAGGTGCCTCCAAAGAAATGTCTGGTGATCTGCTTCTGAAAACCTTAGGGAGTACAGTACTATTCTGCAACACCTGGGCTGCCATGAGTGGGAATTGAGTCCATGGAAATTGGTTTGATTTTTTTCAAGTAAGAAGTAATGACAATGCAGTTACCAATAACATAGAGAGTCTTCTAGATAAAGAGTATCCTTTTCCCCACCCCCACAAGGGAATACTAGAGCTTGAACTAAGAAGCCTGGGTAATTCTCTTAATTGCGCTATTACCAGAGCATAGGGATGCTACAGTTTGTTTGTTTCCATTAAATCCTCTTTAATATAAAGACAAACATCGTTTCAAATAGAAATGTTAATGGCTATATTTTCTCATACAACCAACTACCCGCATATAATCTCATGAGAGTCAACGGACTTAATTTTATTCAGAGTTTTATTAAAAATAAATGAAATGGCCTACAGAAAGTTGTTAATGTACTAAAAGTATCTGTGATTATGGTAGGGTAAAACCATTTCTACATTTGAAGAAATATCAAAAATACAGACCAAGACTATTTTAATATCCTTACTTACTGCCAGATACATAGCTGCATAGATGCTGAGAGCTGCTTCTTTGGATGGGAAAGTTTTCCTTGCTCTCATGATGAGATCTGGGTTTCCAGTACAGGCCTCTTCACCACTGATGAACTGTGTATACTGCTGACATCCAAGTGCGGTATAGTTGGGTTTACACAGGGCAAGAAAATGTGGAGCCAGATTTCCTGTAACTACTTGTCCAGCATTTACAAAGATATCTGTAGCAAACAGTCCAAAAGTATAAATCCCTGAGGAAGTAAAAAAAAAAATTCATAATAATAAATTACTATTTGTATTTCAGTTTACAATAAACCAATATGAAACTACTTTAGAAAGGATAAAATATTCAATGCATGTATGTGTATGATTGTTTCTAGATCGCTCCTCTCTAGTTCTTTCCTTACCTTTCTGGAGTGGTGGAAGTGTTCAATTAGTTAACATATTGAGTTGTCTACCACTGGCTTATATTCTATGCATGGCATATTCATAGCATAAGATAAAAGAAGAAAATATATTTTAAGACTGTGGTTGGGAAATGTGATTTGTAACATGGAAACATGTTGCCCTTGAGCAGGTACAATCTATGTAACGGTCTACTAATGTTCACAATCTTTATTTATTTCCCTATTTTTGAAAACAGTTTTTATCTCACTAACATAAGGCAAAGTAGTTGTTCCCCTTTGATTTGTGATTCTTAAGCCCACCCAAACTGATGTTATTAACTCGGCCGGAGGTGTTTTAATTAATTAGTAGTAAATTCCAGAGCCATCAGTTTTCATTTAAATATGGAAAATCCAAAGTGAAGCGAAATGTTTCAGATCAATCCTTATACCACCTTCAGAAATAGATTTTTTTTTTTAATTACATAACAGCTTGCAATATATTCCATCTTCTAGAGTAAGCACTGGACTGAAAACTACAAGTTCGGCAGTTCGAGCCCATCAACACAAGGCTTTCTCCTCCAGAGAATATTTACAAACCTCAGAAACTCTATATAGGATTCAAAATAAGTTTTTGGCATCATTTTCAATTAAACTTACAAAGATATGTTATCAAAGTAAAGAAACCTATTCTCTTATAATTTAGTAAATAAAGTTCACCTTTTAAAACAAAACCAAAATGATACTTCCCCAAACAAGTGATTCATTAATATATTATATAATTCTATTATAATAATGGGGAGTGTAGTAGCTCTGTATGATAAGCACTGGACTGCAAACCAAAAGGTCAACAGTTTGATTCCACCAACAACTCCTCAGGAGAATGATGAGGCTTTCTGCTCCCACAAAGATTACAGCCTCCTAAATCACACGCAGGGTTGCTATGAGTGGTTACCAATTGCATGGCAGTTAGCAACAACAACAAAATTATAATGCAGAGGTAGTTTTCTTCTTAGTCAGATTTTTCTCGATGGTTTGCTCCCTAAGCCTTTTTATTATTATTAACTGTTATATAGGAAATCATCAGGAAATTTGTGAGGGGCAAATAATTTTCTAGTATTGTACACATGGCCATCCTTTGAACTGTCAGAATATTATTCAAGATTTAAAAACCTGCACATAGCAAAACTTTACTATCCAAATGGCTGTGATACCGTGATATTGTTGTTACGAGTCATCGAGTGAGTCTCAACTCAGTTACCTTGAAGAGCAGCTAGTGGGTCTGAACTGCTGACCCTGTGATTAGTAGTCCAGTGCTTACACTACAGCATCACACTAGGACTTACATTTATCTAAATAGCTTGAATGGAAATAATAAAAAGTCCTTTCTTTATACCTTTACTTAAGTTCCTTGAGTTATCAAAAGGAGAGATTTGGGAGAGTCAGAAAAATATATAAGAACTGAGTTCATTAAAATGTTAATATCCACAACCTCTGTTTCCAAAATATTATGGTCAAACATGGGAACCTAAATTACAAGTTTTCTTCATTTGTACTCTCTTGAAATCTAGGCTAAGATGTACTTTTTAAAATTTAACTAAGTCATTCTTTTTATCTAGTGTAATAGATTTTACTGTTCAAAATAGAGCGAAGTATCTGACAAGGATGTTGAAATGTCTCTTGCTATTGGTAAGGGTTCCAAATGTGCTTTAGATAATGTCATTGAATCAGAGCCAAGGTCAAGATTTTAGTTGACTACAAACATAAATTGAAGTGAGATCCCATGAGTGCATCTACTCTGCTGACCTCAAGAATAAAGTCCCGATAAAGAGTGTATTTTACTATACAGTAATGCTTGACTTACAAGTTTCCATTTTATTATAACAAACTAGAAACACCCAAGCTATGATAAAAAAGTCTAAGAAACAAACCAAGCACTACTGAATTCCTACAAAATCATATATTAAGCAAGAAACATGCAGCAACTTAAAAACACACTTTATTTTGAACCATATATTCTTGAGAATTAAACTTATGAGTATGCAAATGCAGACAAATATTTTAAAAAATTATAACATAATTTAAGGAGCTCTGATAGCATAATGGTTACGAGTGGGGCTGCTAACCGCAAGGTCGGCAGTTTGAAACTATCAGCTGTTCTGTGGGAGAAAGATGAGGTTTTTTGCACCGGTAAAGAGTTACAGCCTTGAAAACTCTATGCAGCGTTGCTACAAGTTGAAATCGACTTGATGGGACATAACCACCACCAATATAATTTAAGAGAATTTAGGAAAGCTTCAATTTGATTAAATACTGCTAGTTTTTAGTATATTATTATTGTTTATTGCTTATTTTATAATTACATGACTTTACTGCATAGTCTACTGTACTCCAGACATGATGCTGTAGGCTAAGCAGTGGTCTGCTAAACACAAGATCAGCAGTTTAAGCCCACCAGCTGCTCCTTGGAAACCTTCTACAGGGTCGCTGTGAGTCAGAACCAAATTCATGACATTCAACCACATCAATAATAACACATGTAAAGAGAAGGGCTGCTGGTAGCACAGTGAGTAAGTGCTGGGATCCTAACTGAAAACTGGCAGCTTCAACCCACCGGCCTCTCTGGGGGAGAAAGATGTGATAGTCTGCTTCGGTAAAGGCTGCAGTCTTGAAAATTCTATGGGACAGTCCTACTCTTTCCTAGAGGTTTTCTATGAGTTGGAGTTGACTTAGGGAGATAGCTTAGTGCAAAAACTCATAAATCAAGGATATAGTATTGATACATGTGGAGGGTGAAAGTAACTTTTTAAAGTTTCATATAAAAGTTATTCTTCCACACAGGACAGATAACGGTTTTGCAGATATGCAACTTTAAGGCTTTGGAGATACATAACTTGTTCCTGTTCTTTAGGTTTCAGAGAGCTAAAAACAGGATGACATTTAGTTAGTCTTTAATGGGTTTAGGTATAGATTATGTGATCTATGCGTGTTGTTGCTGTTGTTAACTGCCTTTGAGCACAGTGTTTCCAAAGAGCAGTTGGTGGGTTTAAACTGCCAAATTGTGGTTAGCAGTACTGGGCTTATCCTTCAGTGCCACATATTCAAAGTCTTCATCTATATTTCTATATGTTTCTAAGAGAAATATATTGAAAGAGAAAGATTCACAATATTCTTAATGTGTTTCTTAGATACTGTATAAATACACCTCAAATTTTATCTATAATGAACAAATATGCTTGTTTATACACAATAAATCTAGAAACACAAATTTATGTTAAATT